TCCCTATTTGACCAATAACAAGAGGAGGAAATGTACATAAAAAGAAACATAAACTGTTTAAAAAAATCTGAGACAGAAGAGATACAAATCCTGTACGTGACAAAATAGCTAATATTTTGCAAATTCACTATCTGCCATATCTGATCCACTGTTCTAGTCAAGTCACTAAACCTTAACTTCAAATATGTTTTGTTATCAACGTTTGCCAGATTATTATTGCCATTAACAAAAAAGGCAGTCCTCATCTCCAACCTCTGAGTTCAAATGCAGCAGTGCAGATGCAGTCCAAGTCCAAGTCTGAGCCATTAGTGCTCAAGTCCAAGTCAAGTCACCAGTACTGAAAATCAGGACTCGAGTCAAACTTGAAGTTCTACAACATCGATTATCTGATTATATCGCATCTGTCGTGTGGCTTCATGATGACATCACAATGTTTAAAACCAATGGATAAGGTGATAAAAGTCATTGTGTTTCTTTATTGAGATCTTGCTCGGTATCTGTTTCTGTGGTTTTAAAAGACATTTACTTTGACATTAGATTTACATTGGGAAATAAATACATATATGTATTATTTTACACTATAGTCACATCTGCCATTCACTGAAAAACTAACATTTTTTAAAATTCCTTTCTCCAGCAACATGTTTCCAGCCAATCTGGTTCAAGCTACTTTTCAACAGGTAAGCTAAACTGCTGAAGACAAGATACAATAAAAGAAAAACTGGAAAAGCCAGTGGGTTTAAACCACAAACAGCTCCAGTATTTTGGAGTTTAGCCTACAGACATGAATCGTTTTAATGTCAAAAGCATTTAAGGTTTTTCTCTTCCACCATGCAATTTTTTTGCTGTAGATGATAAAATAACAGTGTATTGTGCTCATTGTCAACTTTCCTGTGTAATGTGATTACTTTATGTGAATCTTAACACCTCTGACATCAGCCCACACATGTCAAGATTTTGTTAGAACACTGCACATCTTTGAACATCTCTGCTGGTGTGATGTGTACTGTGCTGATGGTAGGGTGTGTGCTCTGATTTGGTTCCAAGTATCGAACCCAGAGAGTCCCAGAACTCATCCCCAAACCAACGGTGGTTCAGGTCCTGGATGAGACAACTACGCGCCGGGTCTACATCTATGGCATTCAGGATGACAACGGCACAGACATCCAGAACTTCTCCCTGGATCTGACGCCGCCTCCCGACGTAATCATGAAAACATCACCTGGTACCAGTGAAGGCATGAATGTGCTGGGCATCGTTATTTTCTCTGCAACCATGGGTAAGTGGTTTGCATGGATCATGTACACAGTTTTTCTTTGTTGCATAACTGAAGCCTTGGCAAAGCGACATCTCTGCATAATCTTGTGTAAAATGAGGAAGGCAGAGAGCAAAGACTTTAATGCAACACTGTGTGTAGGTGTATGACTGATATATTTATGAGTTCATGCTTGCAGTATTTGTTGTATTTGTCTCCAATCCAGGAATAATGTTAGGAAGAATGGGACCAAATGGAAGTGCTTTGGTCAACTTCTGCCAGAGTTTAAATGAGGCAGTTTTGAAGATTGTTGCCATTGTCATCTGGTAAGAGCTGTAGTCAGCGGCATCAAAATAAAATAACATTTATGAGCAGTTAAGCTGATATGGGTTATTAATCAATATTTTGGTAATATATCTGGTAAGAGCTGTAGTCAGCGGCATCAAAATAAAATAACATTTATGAGCAGTTAAGCTGGTATGGGTTATTAATCAATATTTTGGTAATATATCTGGTAAGAGCTGTAGTCAGCGGCATCAAAATAAAATAACATTTATGAGCAGTTAAGCTGGTATGGGTTATTAATCAATATTTTGGTAATATATCTGGTAAGAGCTGTAGTCAGCGGCATCAAAATAAAATAACATTTATGAGCAGTTAAGCTGGTATGGGTTATTAATCAATATTTTGGTAATATATCTGGTAAGAGCTGTAGTCAGCGGCATCAAAATAAAATAACATTTATGAGCAGTTAAGCTGGTATGGGTTATTAATCAATATTTTGGTAATATATCTGGTAAGAGCTGTAGTCAGCGGCATCAAAATAAAATAACATTTATGAGCAGTTAAGCTGGTATGGGTTATTAATCAATATTTTGGTAATATATCTGGTAAGAGCTGTAGTCAGCGGCATCAAAATAAAATAACATTTATGAGCAGTTAAGCTGGTATGGGTTATTAATCAATATTTTGGTAATATATCTGGTAAGAGCTGTAGTCAGCGGCATCAAAATAAAATAACATTTATGAGCAGTTAAGCTGGTATGGGTTATTAATCAATATTTTGGTAATATATCTGGTAAGAGCTGTAGTCAGCGGCATCAAAATAAAATAACATTTATGAGCAGTTAAGCTGGTATGGGTTATTAATCAATATTTTGGTAATATATCTGGTAAGAGCTGTAGTCAGCGGCATCAAAATAAAATAACATTTATGAGCAGTTAAGCTGGTATGGGTTATTAATCAATATTTTGGTAATATATCTGGTAAGAGCTGTAGTCAGCGGCATCAAAATAAAATAACATTTATGAGCAGTTAAGCTGGTATGGGTTATTAATCAATATTTTGGTAATATATCTGGTAAGAGCTGTAGTCAGCGGCATCAAAATAAAATAACATTTATGAGCAGTTAAGCTGGTATGGGTTATTAATCAATATTTTGGTAATATATCTGGTAAGAGCTGTAGTCAGCGGCATCAAAATAAAATAACATTTATGAGCAGTTAAGCTGGTATGGGTTATTAATCAATATTTTGGTAATATATCTGGTAAGAGCTGTAGTCAGCGGCATCAAAATAAAATAACATTTATGAGCAGTTAAGCTGGTATGGGTTATTAATCAATATTTTGGTAATATATCTGGTAAGAGCTGTAGTCAGCGGCATCAAAATAAAATAACATTTATGAGCAGTTAAGCTGGTATGGGTTATTAATCAATATTTTGGTAATATATCTGGTAAGAGCTGTAGTCAGCGGCATCAAAATAAAATAACATTTATGAGCAGTTAAGCTGGTATGGGTTATTAATCAATATTTTGGTAATATATCTGGTAAGAGCTGTAGTCAGCGGCATCAAAATAAAATAACATTTATGAGCAGTTAAGCTGGTATGGGTTATTAATCAATATTTTGGTAATATATCTGGTAAGAGCTGTAGTCAGCGGCATCAAAATAAAATAACATTTATGAGCAGTTAAGCTGGTATGGGTTATTAATCAATATTTTGGTAATATATCTGGTAAGAGCTGTAGTCAGCGGCATCAAAATAAAATAACATTTATGAGCAGTTAAGCTGGTATGGGTTATTAATCAATATTTTGGTAATATATCTGGTAAGAGCTGTAGTCAGCGGCATCAAAATAAAATAACATTTGTGAGCAGTTAAGCTGATATGGGTTATCAATCAATATTTTAGCTGAAACAGCATCAGGAGTTTCAAATTTTTAGTTTTGCTCTATTGTTTGAAGTCTGTCAGCATGTTGGATGGTCAGTCGCTCCACCATTTTGATTCAGGCTAAAGTATCTTGCAAATCACTGGCTGGATTGCACCAATATTCATGGTCCCAAGAGAATGAATCCTATAATGACATTTGGGATCCAGTAGGGTTCCCTCTAGTGCCACCAAGAGATTTGCATTGGCATTTTGGGTTTTTAGTTAAATGTCTCAGCAACTATTGGATGGATTGTCCTTTCATCTGGCATAGATATTCATGTTGCCCAGAGGATGAATGTTCATAACTATGGGGTTCCCTAACTGCTTACCTGTTAAAACAGATTAAAATAATTTTATGCCCAGTTGTTTGGCATAAAATTCTGCTCAGATATTCATGGTTCTTAGATGATGTATTTTAATGACTTTAAACAATTAGGTTATAGTTATGAAATACACAGTCGTTTATGAAATAGTCCAGACATTCATGACCCCTCAGGATTAATTGTAATCTTAACTATTAACATAATAAGGTCACAATTTGAATTTGATCAAAATGACCATAAATGTAAATTGACTGACATGTCCATCAGCATCAGCTGTGTCTTCTGTTAGTGCTAATTAACACATCTTAGAGTGTTAGCAACTAAAATGGGGAACATATTAAACATGTTGACTAGCTACCTGTTAGCGTCATCACTCCGTGCATGACAACGTTTTTCTCAAGGCACAGCTGTGCCACAGTCCAACCTCACTGAAACGCTAGTATGGCTGGAGTAAAAATGTTACTGAACAGCAAATTCACCATGACTTGTTAAAATGTGACACCTTGAGAAATAGCCTTATTTGAACAAAAATCTGATGCTGTGGCTGTCCTGCATTGCACCTCATTTTCTTGCCCTCTCCCAGGTATTTCCCCTTTGGTATTGTGTTCCTGGTTGCTGGTAAGATCTTGGAGATGGATGACCCTTCAGCCATGGGGAAGAAGCTAGGCTTTTATGCCATCACCGTGGTAATGGGTTTGGTGCTGCATGGTCTATTCATTCTCCCAGCCATGTACTTCTTCATTACTAAGAAGAGCCCCATCGTTTACATCAGAGGCATTCTGCAGGCCCTGCTCATTTCATTGGCCACCTCATCCAGGTAAAAGTGGAAGATCTGAGTTTCCATTGAATCACTGGACAATGAAATTGAGATTTTTGTATATTATTTCCCCAGGCACAACATGTACAATTTTTTTTTCTATAAGAGAGAAAAATATTTATTATATGACAATAGGACTGCTTTGTTGGAGTGTTTATCAGCACAGGGTGGAATCTGATTCAGTACAAAAGGAAGCAGGAGAACTTTGGCTGGGCTAGTTGAAACACATGTCAGCCAACGTCAGCTGGGATTGGCTTCAGACCCCCATGATCGTCTTCAGAATAAGCGGTATAGATAATAAATGGATTAATGTTATAGTTTTCTAATTGAAAATCTTTGTAGAACAGTGTTGGTGGAAGAAGTACTCCTTTTTTCACATCCCTATTTTTATACAGTGGTGTTGCTACTTTTACTTCTCTGTTACAAGCAGAAGTCCTGCATTCAAAATGTTACTTAAGCAAAAGTACATAAGTATTGGCATAAAATATACTTGAAGCAGTAAAAGTACTCATAATGGAAGATTTAACATTAATGCATCATATTATTGGACTATAATTATTGATGCATTGTTGTGTACAGCACATTCACCGTTGCAGCTGGTAAAGAGGGAGCTAATTTCAACTTGCTTATTTGCTTATATAAACTTATATAAGGTTATATAACAGTATGAAGTTCCCTGTGGTGAGACTAATAAAGGTTTGTCTTATCTTATCTTATATGCTTGGAGTACTGCTGGGTATCTGATTCTGCAAAGTAACTAGCAACTAAAGTTACAGTATAAAATAAATTTTGTGGAGTAAAAAGTACAATATTTGTCTATTAAATGTGGTGAAGTTGAAGTATGAAGTAGCACAAACTGAAAACACTAAAGTAAAGTACAAATATCTCAAAAATAGACTTAAGCATAGTATTTGATGTAAATGTACTTAGTTACCTTCCATCACTGGTTGCCATTTGGACAGCTGAGCAGGCCTGGCTCTCAGATGGGACTGTCTGCCAAGCCATTTGGGCCTTTAACCTGAGCAATTACAGTCTAGATACTATGTGTCAAGTCACCAAATATCTGCTCTTTGCTTGGGTGAGGAGAGGGGTCAGCTTGTATCCTGGATGCTTTGTATTTAGGTCAGTGGAGAAACTCTCTGATACTGTATGTGCATGGTATGGTTGGTTACGGTTGGAGAACAGTGTCCTGGGTAATGGTGGAGTCACTATGTGTATTTTAGGTTAGGGCAGGGTTGGAAGAGAGTGTGACTTATTACCAGGCTCTGAAGATTTATGACAGTACATTTCAGAAAATTTCATAAATTTTATATCTTAAGGTTTCTGTGAATATGTTTACTAGAACTTACAATGAGTGCACTCACATTATTAATAATAATAAGCTTTAATTTATGGTTCATCAACGATGAAAAACTAAGAGTCAAAATAGGTACACTAGGCTTTTATAGTAGTAGTGCTAATGAAAATGGAATCAGGAAAAAAAAATTACCTATTTTATTTATTTATTTAATTTTATGAATAAAATTGAATAAAACTTAGGATCCTGCTGCAAACAAATACTACTAAGTGCTCCAATAACCAGGGAAAGGCTGTTTAAATGATGAAGGAAGCAGTGTTTGTACTACTCGCTTTCTTTCAGGGCAGCAACAAGTCATTCCTGCCTCAGTAGCGAGTTGGTCCACCCAGGTCATTTTTTACATTTGAAGACAAATATTACAACAGGACTTCACACAGGACACACACTTTAGTCACAGGACTAAAATATTTGGTTCATGTGAAGTGGCTCCATCTACACATGCCACCAAAGAAAAAAAAATCCAAAACTCCAGTGAAGTTAATTAGCCCCAAGTCTAAATTATTTCCCCTGTAAAGTTCAAAGTTCAAGTTCAAAGTGTTTATTTGTCATATGCACAGTTAGGAAACGTGTTTCCCTGTACAATGAAATTCTTACTTTGCCGTCAACATGAATGCCACAAAACACAAATGAAATTTAAAGTAGATAAATAACACAAAATCTAAGGCACTTGAAGCAGACACAAATAGTGTGTTTAAATAGTGTGAATCTTTTGATCCCAATCAACAACTGTGGCAGAAATTTTAACAATCATCTCAATAAATACATTGACAAATGGATAGGCAATGATTTGACATGGTTTTAGAGCACTCTAGGTGTTTCCTAAGTTTGTCAAAGTGGCAAAACAGGAAGCCTCCCCAGAAAGAAAAGAACCGCATGGAGTAATGTAAGAAAAGATTTTGACTCGTCTGTTTTTGTGTGATAATTGTAGCTCCTGTGAAAGGCATTCTGTGAAGTTATATAATTGACTATTCAACTTGACTCAAATGAAGCTCATTATCTGTTATCTTTTCCTGATGCAGCTCTGCCACTCTGCCTATCACCTTCAAGTGCCTCCTCGAGAACAACCACATTGACAGACGCATCATCCGCTTTGTGCTGCCTGTCGGGGCCACCATCAACATGGACGGCACCGCGCTCTATGAGGCTGTGGCGGCAATTTTCATCGCCCAAGTGAATAATTACGAGTTAGACTTTGGACAGATCATCACAATTAGGTAAGGCTGGTAAATGCAAAGCAGAGCAGGTTCAACATGGACATTTGATGGAAGATTTCATGAACTCTAATAAAAATCAGCAGGTGAGGGGAGTTAAAAGGGAAGGCTGTTAAAGCACACTCCAGGCTCCTTTATCAAATATCAGTAAAAAATAGCAAAGTGCTAAATCTTTTTAGCAGTAGTTTCTATAATTTTCTTGATTTGAATGGATGAATAAATGTAGTGAAATAAAAGCACAGGTTGTGAAGGGGCAACCCACCAATCTGATACATCAACTTAATCTTCATCATCATGGGGAGCCTGTGAAAACAGCTGTATGTCTTCTGTGGAACTGGAGGACATTTCTAAAGCTGAAGGCTACAGGTTTTTAACAGATTTCCTATGTGGAGTTGGAATGGGATACCATTTACTCTACAGTAGCAGGCAGGAAAGAGTAACAAGAGAGGCTAGTTAGAAAATGTAGGATCCAGTGTTTGGTGGTTTGCCTTTAATGTGAACCTAAAGGTCAGTTTGTCTGAGCCTATTAGCATTATGTTAAACTGCAGACCCCCACCCTTAAGTAACAGCAGTGTAAGCATTTTGAGAAATACACTTGTTTGCTTTCTTGCCACAAGTTAAATCAGAAGACTGATGCCAGTCTTGTGTCTGTATGGTATAGATGTGATGGAGCCAGCAGACGGTTAGATGAGTTTGGGATGAATACTGGAAACAGGGGAAACTGCTAGTGTGGCTCCATCAGCCAGCACATCTTAAGATCAGTAATTAAAACATTCATATCTCGCTTGTTTAATCCTTACAAAAACCACTGTGAAGCAACATTTCTTTTTAGCAAAGGTTATACCACACTTGTTACTAAAAATCCTTTTTTATAGATTCCATTAAAGGATTATTTAAATGAATACTTTGAGAAAATTGCTTATTGCTTAAAAATGGTGCATATCTGTGATGGTTTGAGTCAACATGTGAATTAATCTAACATCACACATTTAGTTTAATTCTGAATTACTAAAAATATTATAAGATTTAGTAGATACACATATATGTAAATGTCACACAGATTACTCTCATATGAGCTTCTTAGTCTGATCTGATTTGTGCTAAATCAGTCTGGAAGCCCCAGGGATACAGACAGACAGATAACCCCGCTCCCTTGTCCTCTGCCCACATCAACACCAGCACCCTATAATTTTCAACCACAGGTAAACAAGCTCATCTATGTTCAGGACTAAGTCCTCCCCCCTTCTGATTTGATGAGCGGTCCCAGTGTAATAACATTAAGAGCAGACCTCTCCTCCTGGCTGCAGTCTGTGCCCATTCCCCCATAATCCCTTGGCAATAAAACCCATATGACCTGTATTACTCATCTCTCGTCACACCAGAGTTATAATATTTCCCTCTCTGTCCTGTTCCCCTGCCGCTTGGCTGCCAACCATTGAGCTGCTTCATCTGTATGCTAGCCCAGTCCCAACACCAACCTCCCCAGTCCTGCAGCACAGTTAGCACTTGGAGGTCCAAGGTCTTGTGAACAGAACACCAGCTTAGTCTTTGTCCCTGAAACTGTCATTCTCCCCATACAGTACTGGAAGAAGTCATCAAATTCTTTACCTAATGAAACATTGCAGTACTACAATGTAAAAATATGCTGATAAAGTAAAAGTCCTGTTCTGAAATGTTTAAGTAAAAACACAGAAATATTATCTACACACACACACACAAAGTGGTGTTTCTTACATGATAATGCAGTGTACACTGTCTACACCAGAGTATAACTGTATGATGTTTTAACTGGGGACAACATGTGGAGACACTTTTTCCTTGACTGACCCAGAGAACGTTTTCTGGCCCAGTAACAACTGACCGCATTATTTTTGTGGAGCTACAGGTTAGATTAGAAATAGAGCCTCTTATTATGTTAAAGTGAGTCAACTGGAAACAAAAAGGCAACTGGTTATGCTTGGTAGCGGACAGTACTGGAAAAATTGACCAATCAAAATGAGGAGCCTGCTTGTATTTAATGGCCTATGTCTAATTCCATCTTTATTTATGTGTTGTAATTGTCCTCATCATGCCCCCAAAACAATATCAGTGTTTTAGATAACCAATTCACCACATCAACTATGTCTATCCAATCTTTACATATAGTCTGTGGTCCACCATCACCATCTTCCAGCACTTAGCAGAACATGAAACATGTGAGGACAGAGCCTGTGTGTCACAAAACTGTCAGACTTTGTTACATTGTCAAACTAGAGTGCTCCTCTCCCTGTTGCCCCAGCATCACTGCCACTGCAGCCAGCATCGGTGCAGCTGGAATCCCACAGGCTGGACTCGTTACCATGGTGATCGTGCTGACCTCTGTGGGTCTGCCCACCGATGACATCACTCTCATCATTGCTGTGGATTGGGCTTTGTAAGTAAAGATTCATCTTGAAGAAATTACTTTATTTGTCCGCATGGGGAAATTGGTTTTGCTATAGTAAGTTATGTGGTACATGCACAACCACACAGGATCCAACTTGTAAACCTTTCCATCGTGAAAAGCTGAAGACTGTTTATATTTTAGTACTGCTTAGGCAGAGAAATGAGTCCACTCCCTGCAAATTGATTTTTATTTGTACTTGTCTTTTATTTGTGCAAAATAAATAAAATCAAATTTGAACATAGTTAAATTTGGGAAATGGTTATGACATTTTAGAGAAGTTGAATCAATACCTTGAGATTAAATAAACATGTAATCAGCAAATATATATAGGAAAACATGTCTCATACTTGATGTAATTGGAATGTTATGATTCTCATTGTATAAGCCTGAACATCTCAGTAGACTGACCTATGAACACCAAGGACTATCTCTCTCTCCCAAGCTTCCCTGACACTGTGGATGACTTTTCATGCTATCATTCAGGGATCGATTCAGGACCATGGTCAATGTGATGGGTGATGCCTTGGCCACAGGCATCATGGCTCATATCTGCAGAAAAGACTTTATCAAAGAAGGGGAGCAGGTGAGTACAGGCAAGGCCAAACCAACTGTGAGAGATTTAAAGGAATAACAATATATGAAATACTTTTACTTTCTTTCTTGCCAAGAGTTGTTTTCCAGCTAGTAATTTCCCTGTGGCTTCCAGCCATTATATTAGTCCCATCGCCCCCAAGCTCTAGCTGCATAGTTAATAGACTGACAGAGAGAGTGGTATCAATCTTCTAATCTACCTCTCAGCAAGAAAGCAGATAAATGTATTTCCCAAAATGTCCAACTTGTTAAAAAATGTCCAACTTTTCAGTTCACTATAGATAAACCATTTATAATGTTTAAAAATGATACTAGACCACCATGACAATAGTTTTTTTTTTTACCATATTTACTATTTATAAAAGGTGTAAAGGTTTATCATTGCATCATTTGGACACTGTGCCCAGAATGATTCAGATGAACACCAAAACAAGTAGCAGGGTACTACATCTTCATCACCATTTCAGCCAGACACTTACATCAACAAAGTGATCAATAGTAGTAAACGGTTATTTGGCAGCTATGGCTCTGCTGTTAGAGCAAACTATTCATCACTTTCGTCCCTCAGCTGTCCTAAAGTATTCTGTCCATGCACAGACCTTTCCAGAAAAACGGGATGTGTGATTATACCAATTTGCAATTTAAAAATCTGTCTCTGGGCCACTTTCCTGGTACTCATGAATACTGCCTGTTTAATTGCCGAAAGTCATCCTAAGACACTCTTGTTCTTCGTCATTGCCTCCACCAGCTGCCTCTGATCTGTGAGACTAAACCCATGATAAGCATCCAGCAGATGATGGCCTACCAGAATCAGAAGAACGGCTGCTACCAGCCGCCTCCACCAGGCAGCAAGCAGGACCACCTCTCCCCAGACGTGGCACGCCTGATTCAGCTTGAGGAGGGGATCCGGCCAACTGAGAAGAAGAAGCATATGCACTCCTCTCACCACAAGAGAGAGCACAGGGACAAGGATCACTGTTCCATTGATATGAATGGGCTGGAGACTAACGTATAAAAGAAACAGCTCTGCCAACAGCTACTGGTACATCCACAGCTGCAGGGCCAACAGGACAGGAAGAATGAGATGATATTTGGCTATGTATGTTTGTGTGTGTACATATTTATACCAGAGATGTATTACTTTGTACCAGTCCAGCAATGACAGCGTGCTGCTCTGGTGGACAGATATTTCAGACCAGAGAACTGATCCTGTTCTAGGTTTCAATGCCATCCTCCCAGATCTTTGAGTCAGCCCATCTCAAAGGAGCAGAAGTGGAGAACACAACAACTCATATGAGACATAATTAAAGGAATCTGTCCCTCTCTGAACTGCTGATTCATTATGCTCTGGTTTGGTACGTTTAAGCACAGCATTGATTTTCTGGGTGCTTCTGTATATTTAATCTTTTTGTCCCCATGGTCTCTAAAATTAAAAATGTTGCCCGTTTGGAGCATTTTCCATTAGAGGTTCACTGACTCTGTAAAGCACACGACAAAGACACAAAGTGACACAAAACAGGATGATTGATGTGAAATCTTATGGAACAGTATGAAACAGTCTGGTTCACATTCAGGAAAGAAATGTCTCAGCTTCTGAGGTAGTTATGTTACAAATTTTCTCAGCAGCATC